GCTCTATTTGGTCTTAGAGTGTGCAGTCACAACCTGTGACACGAAGAGCTCGACGCTGTACGCAGAAGACGCAGCTGGAGCGAGGACCTCGGGGTTTCTTGACGACATGTTGGCATGGCGAGGCACTTGCCAGGAACACACTGCACCATGAACCGGTAGCGCAGCAGCTGGATGCGGAACCGCTGGACGTAACGAGGCATGAGGTCGAGGTCGGTGGAGCCCAGCAACCGGACCAGCGGCTGGTGGTCGGTTTCGACAAAAGAGCTCAGAGTGTGCAGCTTTACGAATCTCTGGATGGCCCATAGGACTCCCATTGCTTCCTTCTCGATTTTGCTGTACCGCTGTTCAGCAGTTGTCAGTGAACGCGACACAAAAATAACCGCTCGTCGCTCACCAGATGTTTCTCCGGCAGAAGGACGGTACCCAGGCTGTACGAGCTGGTGCCTGCAGAAACGGTTGCTGAATATTCTGGGCTCTTTCAAGCCACGCTGGTGCTGGATGCCACCATATCCGTTAGTGAGTCGAAGGCTGAAGCTTAGCCAGTCCCCCAGGTCCAGACCGTGTCCTTGTTTAGGACGAGCGTGATTGGCGCAGTGGCGGTGGAGAGGCACAGCAAAAAATATCCGATGTGGTTCAGCATTTCCAGGAGGCGCTGCACGCACTGCAAGTCTGTCAGAAATCGCATACCTGTGATGGCGGGGTACCTTGTTGGGGTCTGGTGCTATGCCGTTCGTGCTCAACACCACACCAAGGAACTTGAGGGAGGACCCCCCGAGGCGGCACTTGGAGGCATTCAGTATAACTCCTGCTTGCTGCAGTCTCTCGATGGCTACTTGTAGTCGGCTGTCGGGTTTAGACTGGTCTCTGCCAAACACTAGGATGTCGTCTACCATGTTGACGCATCCTTTAATTCCCTCGAGAATCAGTGACATCGGGCTCAGGAACACCTCTGGGGCCGACTTAATTCCGAAGGGCAGGCAGCGATAATAGAATCGCCCGAAGGTTGCGATGAACGCCATGTACTCCTGGCAGCTTTCGAAGAGGCACCCCTGGCGAAACCCGGACATTTGCCCAGTTTCGAGAAGGTGTTAGCACTTCCCGGCAACCCGAACGCCTGGTCGACGGTCGGCATTATATACTACTCTCGGAGGATGACCTGGTTCAGCCCGGTTAAGCAGACACACAGTCGATAGCCTCCCGCTGCCTTGGGAACCCCAACAAGGCCCGCGCACCACGCCTTAGGAGTCTCGACCACTAAGAAACGCCATTGTTTGAAAGCAAGGACACGTCACCTTTTTGCAATATTTCAATGTTGTTCAGCCTTCTTTTTCCGAGAGTACCCAAAGTGCGCCTAGCATGACACTGCATGCAGGCGACAGCGATATTGGCGATAGTATGATTGAAGTTACGGTCTAGATGAGCGTCAGAACATGACTATCTGCAGGTTGATCGATTATACCATAGTCACACATACGGTTCCCTAAAACACTGAGGTCTTAAATAAATCAGCGACCAGGGAGCCAGGCACGTAGCCAGGATTTTGTTTCGAGGGGGGGGGGGGGGGCCTCACCCATGACAAAATGCTGTATGAGGGGGAGGGCAGGGGTGGATCCAGAACTCCGTTTTGGTGGGGGACGGAAAATTTTTAAGGATACTATTCTCCCACTCTTCCTTGTGCAAGGGGTGTCCACCAATGCCAAATTGCCCTCCGAGAAGGGGGGAGGGAGGGGGGTCGACTTTGCTTAGGGGGGGGGGGCCGCCCCCGTCGCCCCCCCCCCCCCTTGGATCCGCCACTGGGGGAGGGGGAGAGGAAGTACCTGCAAAATGGAAGATTTCGGAAGGGGGGGGGGGGGGGCGGGCTCCACGGGCCCCCCCCCCCCCCCTTGGCTACGTGCCTACAGGGAGCATATATCATCTTGCTGTGAAACACAGGGAGATTTGAGCGACCAGTCGCGTCTTTGTTCACAACCAATTCCAGGACGGACAGCACTGTTTTAGCGATAATGATGATACATAGAGACACGAGCCAAGATGATCCTCAGATGATCGTCGGTTGACACTAGGACACATGGCAACACCGGCGACCGATCGCATAGTCGTTCATGACCACTTTCAAGACAGACAGCAGTGCCTGAGCATGTTGGTTATGCGCAGGAACCAAAAACAGGGCGATCAACAGTTGCCGCACTCGGCAAGAATGTAGTACATTAGGCGCAAGACAAATAATCGGCATCAGAGTCACAGCTATGCAGATTTCGCAGTCCCATTTGTCGCAGGCAGGCAGCAGCTCTCAAGTCTTGGATGTACTCGTATCATCGAGCCCTACAACTGCCTGAAACCACTCGCACGCTGCTAATGAGTGACGACTCTGAACAAGAACCACCTTTGGTCTGTCATGACGAACATGACATTGCGAGATGTGCTAAAGAAGGAAACGAGTGCGATAACACCTGATATTGGAAGCCTGACCGCAACCAAAATGTGGAACACGTTGCACTAGGTGCGGCCTGCACAGTCTTTAATAAACATAGTTTTGGCCTGCCCAATTCTTTGTTGTGCACCCTTGGTTTAGCACTTCCCAGTAGATAATTGGGTTGGTAGGAGTAGTACCCTCACCCCTAACGCACATTGCCATGAGTTCCCAGAGAGCTGCCATGTGACGCAATCTATATCAAAGACCACATATTCCGCCGTTCGCATTTAATCATTCTTCCGACAGTACCTTTTACTTGAATACGCAAAGGGAACAAAATATTTAAGGGCAAAAAATGCAGAGCAGGAAACGACAATAAGGGGATCCCTCTTAAATCGTCTGAAGCCTACTAAACAAACTGGTTTTCGACGAGTTGGGATCTGCAAATTGGCCTATTTTACAAGTTGTCTATCGACAAATTGACCTTTTACCAAATGGCTTTCAACAAGTTGGCCGGATACCACGACACACAGGCATGAGTGCCCGCAGAAATATTCCCGGAGGGAGAAGAGGGGCCGGAGTAGAGAGGAAAACCCTCTCGTTTTCTTGCGCCTTTTCCTGAAGTAGAACGATGCAACTTCTATGCACCCCTCTTTCTACCATCACCTCCGGGCGCCCTTGCACAAATGGGACGTCGGCGACAGTTCGCGCCTGCGTTCGCAACAGCAGCACTGCCATCTGCAGCTCCAGAAACACAAAATGAATGTGATTGTCGGCTGATACAATAAGGTGTAATAAGAACAAACGGGAGCCTATGCACACAGAGAATGTCGGCGACCGTTCGCGTCTTCGTACAAAACAGCAGCACGGCCATCTGCAGCTCCGGAAGCACAGAATTAAGGTTATGGTCGGTTGGCAAGCGGTAAGGGGTGATAACACCGAACGTTGCACAGAAGACGCACAGATAAACCACCCATCACAGTCGCTGCACAGCGGCCGCGAGAACAAAGGACTTCGAAGGGCCACAACTCGCTTGCAGTCCTCGTAGCGTCACAGCGTTGTAGTCTTTGCACCGTTTTTTGCAGTGGTCGCAGCCAGGGTCAGGGCCCGGTAATCGAGGCGGCCGAGGCAGCCGAGTTACGATATGTGACCGAAGCGGCCGAGGCCCGAAGCCCGCCACTATCGCAGCTGATCGCAGGCTCCCAGTGTACGTAGCAGTATCGGCATCGTTTCGAAGCTTAGCGGTTTATGACGGATGTGTTTAAACTTCTTTCTTTACGAATGTCGAAAACGCCACGGCAAAAGAAACGACTGAAGGACCGACCTTGTCGTCTTGGCCATTGCGGATCTAACCTGGGTGCCCAAACCTTGTTTATCAAACAGCGTGCTGATGAAGCTTGTAGAAATGATATTTGTATAGTTTTCCTTGGCGTCGGTGGATAATAAGGGCTCTACTTTTCCTTCCATCGGTCTGGGTTTGTTTATGTTTGTTTTGGTAAATAATAATAAAATAAAAACTTAACGAAAACAAAAAAAAGCACCCTGGGGATCGAACATTCGACCCCTTGGTCCGTAGTGCAATGTTCTACCTCTGCGCCAATTGAACAAGGAGGAATTCGGTCTCCTCCTTTCATCTGAACGTCCGTTCCTCCCTTCTCTGGGCAGCTTGTTCACAACAGGGACGAACAGTCGCTGTTGCTACCTTGCTCCTCCTTTTTTTCTCAGAGTGCAGTTTGCAATTGCAACACTTTCACTAGGCACATGTGATCTGACATTCACGAACTTGACTTGATAAATGCCTGACAGCGCTTTCAGCCTCGTCACTTTGCGTTCCTACATTGAAAGCTCCCTTTCGTGCTCACGGATTGGGTTAGAACTTTTCTAGTTTACCACAACTACGATTTGTCTATAAGTACCCTTACTTTCGTAGGTGTTTGTATACATAATATAAACACGTAAACTCGATTACAATAATCTTGCGTTATTTAGATTGTTTCTTGGCCATTAAAAAATAATTTTCGTAAATATTACTTTTTCTCTGTTGCAAATGTTTTTTTTTTAATTCTAAAAGTCATGGATGTGAAGCGCTTTGTTCTATAAAACAATGTTTCCTGGCCTTAATTAATTAGCACAAGTTTTTGGGACATCTGAGCACTTGCAACAAAACAAAATGAGTAGCTTTAATCGTTGTGCTTGCGGGTTCTTTGTTCAAAAACCTCGCCATGTTGAAATCACCGGCGAATCGAAATTCGCAACTTCCAGCGATGGTTGTAACGTGGTGTAAGAATCGCGCTCCCTAGCTCCTGAATGATCGGCTTCACAATAAAGGTGCTTGCCTACACCTTCCTAACTGAAAAATACAGTAAGACTCTAACACTGCTTGTATATATCAAAACTAGGATTACTTACGTGCAGCAGACCCAGCCTCGTGGTGCTGTTCTATGCGATCCTCCAGATGACAGCCATTTTGAAAGGCACCAGTGCGCCCCATATAGGTCGTGAAAGTTGCGAATACCACTTTCAACACCGGGTCTAGTGGAATTCACTCGAGATTATAGACCACTGACCAAACAAAAAAACGACAACTTTATTTGGTGTCGTTCCTGTGACGTCGCCCTCCGATCGGAATTCTGATTCCAACGCCGACCTGGCCGTGAGAGGAGGACCCGTGGCTGGAACCATGTGATTGCGAGCCCTCTCCCCAGCCTGTGATGGTGGCCCCGGGCATACGGATGATGTCGTGCTCGATTCTCCCGTTCACGCGGTAGTTGCCTGGACTTCCGCCGCCTTCGATGTTCACCCGAGTCTTCAACAAAAAACAACAGTGAATTAGGTAATACGTCAGAGTGGTCAGGTTTACAAACCGCACAGTGTTTTTTTACCTATAATCAGGGATAGGTTACGATTTCATTGGTGCATGCTCCTCACTTAAGTAGATATTGCTCCGTCAGCAAATGGCTTCCTGTTATTTTAATAAAGGACTGCTTTCAAGATGCAGCTTGCGCCTGTATATATTGACAACATAAGAACGGATGTAAAGGTCTTGAGTTGCGCCGCCTTCAGTGTGGGTTCCTGACCTCCGACAATGCTTTGGCGTCTCGCGATACTCGAGCGCGAGCGAGCAGCCGGAGGACTGCGGAAGGCAGGGAGCATGTACTGGACGCTGGGTGTTCCAAGCACACGCCCTGTTGTTTTCAATCTCCTAGGGACTATAGCAACCAACAATGTTTTCTTTTTTTTTTCTTAACGCTGTTTGTTTTCTTTTTTTCTTTGCATTGGGTTTTGTTTTTATGTTGTGATAGCATTTACGAGAGAACTTTACGCACCTTCGCTACCGTGGATCTGTTTGTAACCAAGGAAGCAGGCTGCGCGCATATTTTAAACATTAATAAAGAAGGTAATGTGCCGAATGAATGCGTTACAATAAAGTAGCTTGTGAACTGGAAATGCAGTTACCAAGGTTCATATGTCTATAGTAAGATAGAAATACTCGAACTGCCGTGGTGTTACAAGTTACAACGAAAGTCCTTGGAGGGTTGTGGGAGACTAATCGGTGAAAATAGATTTTTGGATCTAAAAAGTATAGGGGCATAAAAATAGTAAAAATTCGAATCGAATCTAAGCCGATTAGAATAGTGTCGTACGAATTCAGCGGTGGGGTTAGCATCGAAGTTTTGGATGTGCGCTGTAGCTTAGGCGGTAAGGCATAGCGCATCCTCCACTCGCTACTCGGATATCTCCGAGTAGCGAGCGGAGAGTGCGCTCGCCTTATTTTTTCTATTTAGGCGCATCATAAATATCCTAAAACAAACGAGGACAACAGAGTAGACAGTCCTGTCCACTATCCTGTCCTTGTCACTTTTGTACTATTTTAATTTTGCACCTAAATATTCACCAACTAGCCTAGCAATCTACTACATTGGATCATATTTTCTCCATCCTTTTCTTCTGGTTCTTTTCATGTTACGAAGCAGGCTCGTGGTGGGTTCAACTTACCGGGGTGGTTTCTGTTATGTGGCGTGAAAATGCTGCGGTCAACGTTATGATCGTTTTGCGCGAAGTTTGATATGCACCAGCGTCACTGCCACTGCCAAGCTGCGTTCATGGTCGCCATCTTCTTGTTATCAAGTAAATGAAAATAATGGGCACCTACCTTTACCATTAAACTCCTAGAATGCACGTAATACATTATATAGACTGATTAAGGCGAGCGTGTTGTGATTATGAACACTAAAATAGCAAATGAAAACGCTTAGGATTTAACAGACAACTATACTCTTTCATTTAACAACGATGAATGTTTATTTCTGGGCACAAAAACAAAATCTCACGTTGACCAGAACGGGGGAGGGCGAAGCGAGACGACGTTACGAAGGGAAGCACTGATAAGGATGGTTATAACTTTTCGTTTTCAAGTTCAGGCTTCACAAATTCCTGTTCACGTCTCGTTAGGGCTAACGATGCAGAAAAAGCGTTCTTCTGTGCTTTTTTGTTGACGAATGGTTCGATGATTTCACGTCCCAATCGCTGATTATGTCTTCCCAGCAGCTTGGTGTTGCGAATATTTGGTGCGCACCCAATACACTGCTTCTCATAAGCAGGAATGGGATGAGTCGGATGACCTTTTTTTCATGTTTCTTCGTTTTGATTCTCTCATAGACCGTCGTTTACGCAACGGCCAATTTGCTAATGTATCCAGGTCCGCACTTGAGGGACATTGAGTACATCTCGGTCGCACATTCACTGAAGTGGGTGTCATGTTTTTCTCGGAAGGTGGCTTGGTCTTCTTGCGGTTGGTCACACTACACAGGCTCGCCAGTTTGAATCTGTACGAAACTACGACTTTGGTGTTAGAGCGGGTAACGATTAATCGGATGCTCTGGGATGCGTTGTGGAGGGAGAGGTGCTAGTGATTCTTTGTTGTGCACGTGGAACTTCCTGGTAGTTTTTGGTGTGATGAGTTGTTAAAACAAAAGGCGATCCGTTCCATTGGTTATCCCGGGCTTAGAAGTCGTTGAGTTTGGGTGGTGAAGCTCTCTGTTGCAGAATGCGGACATGATTAAGTTTTTGCCCACATGAGTAGGGCCTCGATCTCCCAAAGCTTAAGCTATTTGGAGTGGGCACTTTTGAACGAAAAAGACGGCTTTTTCGAAAGCTGTTGGAAAGTATAGCAAACACCTTGCGTCGTCTTGGTCAGTCGCAGGTCCGAAAATCGCAGGCCTTCCGAAGAAGGGTCCTCCCTCTTGAACATGAGATTACCTTCTGCTTGGTGGAAAGAAAGCAGAGTGCCCTCCACTTTTATAATTTTAGAGTGGAAGATGAGATAGTAGTCTTTCCCTAGCACACGACACAGACGATGAAAAAATATGTTCGCAACGCGATGTTTAGGTTACTACGAGCTAAAAATGTCAAAAAACGAATAACCCAACTGAACTCACCGGTGGCGAGAAAGCACAAAGCGGTAACTGCCGTAGACGCCATTCTGCTTGCGCGGCTGCTCTAACCGCTCATTCACACTGGAAGCGGATCCGCGTTCGCAAAGCGGTTGTGAACGCGGTTGTATAAAGATTCAGTACAATTGCACGCGGACTTCATGCCACCGAGCGCACGTGCAATTGTACTGGATCTTTATACAACCGCGTTCGCAACCACTTTGCGAACGCGGATCCGCTTCCAGTGTGAATGGGCGGTAAGAGGTGCAGACACGGGTATTGCTCTTTCAACAAACGTCCCTTTATACGAAACTTCGGAGTCTTAAGCCGACCCCAGCATGATTTTTTTCCGGCATTGCCCGTAAGTTTGTCTCCATCCGAGTTTCTTCTCCATTTCACAACCGGAAAAACCTAGCGGCTAGCCGATATCATTTCGCTCGTGGAGTGGTAATTGGCCGCGAACGGCCTTCCAATCTCGCTGCGCTATCAAAGAGATGTTACGCGCTAGAAATCTGTTATCCTGTTCCGACTTCTAACATCTTCCACGCATTGAATAAAGAAATATCAATCAAGGCTCTTGCGTCGCAGGCGGTTGTCTTGTGTATGCGGTAACTGGGGCTTACATTAAAAACTTTATACCAGGCTCGTAAAGGCAAACATAAATACATATGAAGTCTCAAATATCACTTAAATTTTTTCGACTCAAAAAGTCGTTTTGGGGCTTTCATTCTCTCCCCTACTTTTTTTTTCTTCCAGATCCTATCTTAGCATTTTTTTGTTAGGAATAAAGAAACTGTTATTGATAATTTACTAATACAGCACATTGGTCGAGTTGATAAGCATAATTTATAAATACTGCAGATTGTGCGAGTTGGCAAGGAATAAGGCACAGACAGCTGCACAAAGAAGCACAGATCCAACTTTGTCACATGTGTTAAAGAGGTGGCCGATTCATTTCCCCTTTTTTGTGGAAAAGGGCACTTTGGCACTTTGAACATAAAGGCTGGACGGTGTTTAAGTGACCACCTGCGTGAGCACATAAACAGTACCAATTCCAACTCTGGTCACTTAGGCGTTCGCTGTTGGGATTGTGGCTGTTCTGCATGACTGGACAATTATGTTAGGCAAGAGCAAAAACCAACTCACCCTTGAAATTATATAAGCGCAGAGCATTGTGTGACGAGACGCCCAGTACGTTATCACTCCGTCCTTAACCTTATCGGAAAAAGAACTGCATTATTTAGACAGAAGGTTTACTCGACAGTAGGCCAATATATTCCCTGGCTTCTTTTTGTATTTCTGTATTGTATATTTCAAAAAGCCAGAATATCACCTGGTTTATACAGGTTAGTGATTAATATTCTAATTATTTTTGTAACTCTTAGACTCTTCAGTGTTATTTTAATTTATTTTCCTTTCTTTGTTTTCCGTTTCCTTTTTTCTAGACTTCTCTAATTTTGTTTGCCTTTTACCTTTCCTCCCTTTGCCTTGTGTTTCATTTTTTCTTTTTTTTGTTTGTTGGGCTAACACCCTATTCCTTTAGTACGAAGAAGAGGAAGTTTGACTAAATACAGATAAGTTGATAGTTCAGCAATGTGTGAGTGTATGCTTTCTGTGTTTAGAAAATCTTGAGTGACTGTCAACCTGTCCGCTAATTCGTAATTATAATAATTTATGTTCCTAAGCGCTGCCCTTTTCTTTCCTGCCATCTCAGAGCTTTTTTTTTTTGTTTTGTAATATTACTTCAGCTACACTAGATGATTTCCGCGGTTATATTTTGTTCATTAATTGTTTTTTTAAGTATCTAATACATCAGCAACTTTATCTCATATCTCATTATAGCAGCTTTCGTTACACTTTTGAAGGCGTATCATTTCACAACTATATCATAGGGTGCTACTCCCCATGTTCTGTTGCTCAACCTATTCAACCTTCCAGCGTTGTGGAATTCGCGCACAAATAGGTATCACCACTTTCAAGGCAACTGCTAAATTGAATTACAAAGCGCTATCAAGCAACACCCGCGGACTACACAGAACTATGTGGCTCATGTCTCCTTTTCGATTTGTCATTAGAATTTTTATACTATGGCGGGGAGTGAGTATAACCGCGCAATTATTAAGAGATAGCATGTTTTATTTCTATATATTTCCACAACAATTTTAATTACATGGCGATGGTATGGCATGACCACAGAGCCTTAGATGACATCGAAAATGCATTTTATATTGAAACCTGCCCCTCCAGTACTTACTCATTTTTTTAATAAGGACCTCAACATGACGGCGGGCTGCTTCATAGATCACATTTCATTGTTGATGACATTTATTAACTTAAAAGAGTGTCCTCCGAATTGATGAAATGATGGCGTACT